ATGGATTTAGCCATATCCGCCATCTGTCCGCCTCCATATCCGCCATTTCCTCTCCTCCCCTGGTTCCGCCATTCTCCCCTGCATTCCCGCGAAATATGTCCCTCCTTCCCGCAATTATAACATGAGATGGGGGGGCGGGAATTAGAACTACGAGGGTTTCCCGTGTTTCCCCCAGGTTTCCTAAGAGGGTCTTTCTTTTTCCATTCCTCGAACTTCCGGCATTCCCTCTTCTGATGACCAGTTTTCTTGCAAAAATAACACGCATCTCCAGTCTGCAGGGCATTTACTCCGCCTTCTCCCTCTAGGTCCTCGACATCAGACACGTCCTCCACTAGCCCGGGCATGGCATTGACATCCATGGGTACCTGCCCGGTCTTCAACATCTCGTTAGCTTTGCTCATCTCGTTCCTATCATGCCGCTTAAGAAATTGCACATTTCAGAAGTTGCCACTTGGGAAAATACCCTTGGGAAGTTGCCACTTGGGAAATTGCCTTTTGGGAAATTGCCTTTTGGGAAAAATCCATTGGGAAAGTATACCTAACATCATCACAAACAATATTATAGTTACTTGTTCTTGGAAATATTTCAATTTTTTTCAGGAACGCTGAAAGCTCAAGAGAGTTCAATATTTTCCTCTTGTTCCGTCCCTGGAACAGACACCTTCAGTGGAGGGTTGGAGAAGATTTTATTGGAACGCTTACTTTTAAGGTATATTTACATTTTCCCACCATTTTATTGCATTTATAGTGAACATAAATCTTAACCGTTGGCTTGAAAAATACGCGTAAATTTTTTTTTAATAATAATAATAATAAAAGGGGATGGCGGAGATGTTCTATTTGATATGCGTAAAGCTATAGTTAATTTTTTTTTAATTTGGAGTTCATTAGAGGTTGTTAGAGGTTCTTGGAAGTCGTTAGAGGCCATTAAAATATCAAACACTGGATTCCTTGCTGCTACTGTATTCCCTAGGTTCCTAGCTTTCGTTTGATATGCAAGAAGTATAGTTATAGGTCATTAGAGGTTATTCAGTGTCCAATTTTATTTTATTTTTGAAAATAAGAGTAAACATTAGGGGCACGGTAAAAAATGGGAGGGTTTGAACATGAAGGCAGGGACCCCCTCCGGCCTTCCCCCAATCAAATAGGACATCTCCACCATCCCCTTTTATAAATTACTAGCTAAAGGGCCTGGTGTTGCCCATAGAAAAAAATGTGAAGAAAAAAATTTAGAAAAAATGTTGAAAATTGTTTTAGCTTATGACACCCCTCGGCCAACCATGATTGTCCACAAAAATTTCAGCCCATTCTAAATAGCCGTTTTGCCGGCAATAGCCAACATATAAATATGTTTTGTTTTATTATATAGATAAAATGCAAAAGTTTGCAAATATTTTATAAAGGTTGTTTTCTTCCATGGTACATAATTTGGAGGAATTAAAATAAATTATTGAAAACTTATTCTTAAACAAATATGTCTGGTAAAAATATAGATTCAATTTTTCTTCGAATTAAAATTCGAAATTACTGTGTGCTGGACAAACAATATGAAATCAACCAAGTCGACGTTGTCCATTGCACCCCCAACTAACCAGAGAGAGAAGCATTCGGAATCAAACGTGCTTTCGTCTATAATTCAGCACTTTAAACTTACAGATTTATTCATTTTAATACTTTTTATCCCAAATGTGTATGCCAACTAAAAGTTATTTCAGAAAAAAGGCTATAAAATTACGTATAAGGGGTCAAATTGTGATCAAAGTAACAGATTTCTGAAATATTGACAGAACCGTTAAATCCACATGATTGTCTTATTAAAAAATGTATTACTGCGATTTAAGTCTTATGGGGCTTCTTGCAGATCTCATTCTCATAAGTCATAAGTCATTATTTGTTTTATAATTCAAGGGACCGGCAACATAACTTTAAGTACCCCCTCCCCCCTTTGACCGGGCTAGCCCGGCTGGGTCAACATACAAATAGTTAAGATAATAATATTATGAATACAGATAATAAATTAGAATTGCACATCATGGTAGAATATACTTCAGGTGGAAGGATAGGAATAGACAGAGTTACCCACATAGAATCAGACTGTGGAGAAGACTGTACGGAATTTGCAAACAATAATTGTTCCCAGCATATCAATAAAAAACTAAACTGAAGGGAGAGAACCAGGTTTAAATCCTTGAAATCATTATGTTTAAAGATTTAAGGTCGTCATTAGATGCTCATTCTTTGTGGGTAACCCGGTAAAAGAACAGAAAAAGCAGAAAATAAAGTAAAGTATATTAAACCCTTTAACATCAATATTACTTAATCCCATCTCCCATCGTAACCTTCTCTCCTAGTTTTGACTAATTAATGTAAATGAATTCATTAACAGATAAATAAAAATCCACAATATTTTTGTTTACAAAAATCTCTACAAAAAAACTCTTTAAGCTGCAAAGCTTTACTTACACTCCACCCAAAAGCTCAAACAAACTTGTATTTTATCACTGATATGGGGGTGTTAGTTCCAAAGATTTTTCGCATAGGTACAAAAATGTACTTGCTCAGAAGCCGAATATAGAGAATTTGAGCCTCAGCTCAAATATGGTTGGTTCCACTTAAAATCGTATTCAATGTTTCAAGATTTAAGCTGGTGCTCAATTAAAACCGGTTTTTGGGGGATTTGAGACGCGGCTTAAATTCATTAAATTCGGACACAGACCGGTCTTTTGTAATCGTACCCTGCACATGAATTGAGTGGTTCCATGTTCGTGGGCTAATGTACAAAATATTTAAATCTCGGTGTTTCTTCTGGATTTCTTAAATAAATAAAACACCCCAAAGGACATGGGGAAGGTACGTATTTAATTTACTAATCCTTATTTTAAAACCATTGCAAGTCTCATTGCATTATTTGCAAATGAAAACTTAAACTCATTTAAAAGTTCCTACCTTTCACACTACCTTTCCTACCTTTCACACTACCTTTCACACTACCTTTCACACTACCTTTCACACTACCTTTCGTTGTTTACTCACACTTTTTTTGCCTTTTTTATGATGCAGCAAAGTTTAATGTGTGACAAGTTCATATATTGTCAATCTTCTGTTTGAAAATTCTTGCCTTTGGATACTTTAGAAGTATATATTGCGTTTTTAAGGAGGAGGGGAAGGGGGGAAGGAGGACTCTTTTTTCTTCGGTGTATGTATAATTATTCTTTTGAGCAGAGAGAAGTAGGTCTTGGAGTATGTAAAAAAGGCGCTACCAAAGATTTTACAAGGGGGTCGGGCTGCAGATTTTTTTCTACTTAACCCTTTACATGTATAAGGGCAATTACGAAACGTTTACATGGCAAAATGTTTATCTCTTTGTGCATATATTTTACTATTATGAATACTCGTAGATTTAAGAAGTAAAAGCGGTCAGATTTAAGATTTCTCCAAATTTAGACAATTTTTGAATCAGATATGTGGCCTTCAGCCCGCGTCAGGTTTAACGGAAGTTTTTGATCAAAATATAGATTCCTTCCAATTTATGGGTCAGCAACATAGATAGGTAAAAGGGATAGAAAGAAAAAAGAGAAGAAAAAAGAAAAAAGAGAAAAATATAAAGAAGAGATTTTTAGGAAAGATGATGAAAATAAAGGATGAGAAGATAACATACTGAAGGATTGAAAATAAAAGACTGAAGGATTGAAAATAAAAGACTGAAGGATTGAAACACTGAAGGATTGAAAGACTGAAGGATTAAAGACTGAAGGGTTAAAAGACTGAAGGACTAAAGGAACTAAAGGAACTTAAACACTGAAGGATTAAAAGCCTAAAAGATTGAAAGACTGAAGGATTAAAAGAGTGAAGGGTTGAAAATCTAAAGTATTGAAAGACTGAAGGATTGAAATACTGAAGGAGTTGAATTTATGCTGACAAGTATGCTCACGACTCCAGACAATGGAACTCCATAAAATTATTTTTGTTCATTGCGCAGTGCTCTATATTATTAACATCTTAACATCCAGCCTGTCATTCATCAATCCATTTCTTAATCCTTTGATTAATCCATTCCTTAATCCTTTTTATTAATGCATTTATAAATCCATTTATAAATCCATCCTTTAATCCATTCATTAATCTATTTAATAATCCATTCATCATCCATCCTTCCACCCATTCTTTGTCTATCTTTCTATGTATCTATCTATCTATCTATCTAGCTATCTATCTACAGGGTGTCCCACATCATATAATCCATAATCGAATAAATCAATTTGAAAAATAACATAAGGCTTATATAAGAATTTTCTTGCGGAAAATGATAAGTTCTTCGAGTATTAAGGGTTTATTTTGTCGTTAAAGATTTGAGATAATCTAATATGATATGGGACGCTCTGTATAATCCATAGGAAAATTGTGAACTGGAAAAGTCTGATCAATTATGTACAGTGTGGCTTCAACCAACCATAGTTTACCAAATATTCTTATATTTTGTTTTTAACCGCAAAGAAAAAATAAGAATTTATAAAATAATTTTTTAATAGTTTGATCTTAAATATCTGACAAAATCGGAAAAATAAAAACTAGTTTTACATTAATATACTGTAAACATTTTTACGGCTATTAAGGACGGGGAAATTTCGGCAACAAAGGGCAATTTTTTTTTACAAATCGTTAATGACTTGTTAACGCCGTTAATAAAATGGAGATTTTAACGTAATAGTCCAAAATGAAAACTATAACCAACATTTCATTAAACATTACGAGGACAACTATACCCAATTTTAAACTTTTTAAAAAATCAAAATTACAATAGTTTTTTATTAAATCTCTGGACCGTTTTCAAGAAAATGTCAGATTTTCCATTTTCGAAAACATCCTGAATATAAAACATTTTGCGTTTTCGGGACAAAACCCACTTTCCCGTTTTTAAGAATAATCCACAATTCAAAACAAAACTTACTTTCATAACTTCAGGGGATATTAGTTCCAAAACTAACACTTGGCCCATTTCTAGCACTGAGTGTTAGAAATGGGCCAAATCTGCTAACTTATCTTTTTCAAGAGTAAATATCTGTAAATCCAAGACGAGTAGAACCAAATTACACCAAATATTTATGAAAGTATATATTGAAGCAACAAATTTCAATTTTAAACTAATAATAAGGTGTGAGAATTAGTTTTTGATGATTCTTGATTTCATTTTCGAATATTTCGCTGTTTTGACACAATTACCAGATTTCAGCTCATCACGCGTTTTCGGAACATATCCTGGTTTTGAGACAATTACCGGATCGATTTCATATCAATGTCAATTTTTAAACATTTACACACTAACCTAACAAAACAAGATTTTTTGATAAGGTAAAATATAAACAAAACAGAAAATAAAAACAAACTGTTCTTTTATAATTTAAAAATCATTACATCATTTAGAAATCAAAAAATTTATATTATTTGTTCTTACAATATAGATTTAACTAGAAATGCGGGAAACTGTTTGTTTAAAATGTTTGAAAATAAATTATCGATATTCTTTAATTTAACGGATAGAATGTGGAAACTTATAGATTCCAGAAATAATTCAGAATTCTTTATAAGATAATTTTTTTTTTCATTGATTTATTTTGTTTAAATTTTACCTTATCATAAAATCTTGTTTTGTTAGGTAAGTGTGTATGTAAATGCTTAAAAATTGACATTGATATGAATTCTGGTAATTGTCTCAAAACCAGGATATATTCCGAAAACGCGACATCGAGCTGAAATCCGGAAAATAGAGATATGTTCGAAAATGAAATCAAGAATTATCAAAAACTAATTCTCACAACTTATTATTAGTTTAAAATCAATATATAGTTTTTGCCATTTTTTATAAATATATGGTTTAATTTTGTTCTACTCGTCTTGGATTTACAGATATATATTCTTGAAAAAGATAACTTTGCAGATTTATAAATTGTTATAAAATTGGTTAGTGTTAGTTTTGAAACTAATATCCCCTGAAATATGAATAGTTGTATAAACTAACATTTAAGTTTTAGAAATCTACTTCCACGTTCAGAGTCTAAAACTTAAGACAAAATTTTAAAAAACCCAGTTTCATTGATACAAGGGCTTAAAACTTTTGAATTTACGAAATTACCTGCTGTGATTTTCTCTTATTTTTTCTTGGTTTTCAATCAAGAAATATATTGGGTAGAGGTAGGGAACTGTCAGCTGGGAGTTGTCAAATAATTTAGATAAAACTAAATTTAACCCCAATCCTTCCCCTGGTACCCCCCCCCCCCCCC